ATATATGCCCGGCATTGCATTCCGTTAAGTGTTTCAATCCGGTGACGCCCTGCCAGCTCGTCAAATTGTCGTTGCTGCGAAAGTGGGTCGCGCAGCTGTCGGATTTCCCGGCCACAAAATTTTCGCCAGGAGAGTCGCGATTTCTCCGTTCCTGCGAATAATAAAGAATCGACAGGAAGACATGCACGAATGTACTCGGAATCTCGCGCAGCCGCTACGGGTCACTCACCGCGTATAAATTCACCGGGACTCGCAGTCTCAGCACGATCGCGCGGAAAATTCGCTGAACGGACGTGTACCCGCTCGGTAATCCTCCGTGCAATTTCATATATCCACCATCTGAGATCGAGTAACACACGCGTGATAACGCGAAATTATTCCACACGACCGTATACGGCTCTTTTGAATCGCGGGATTATTTCCCTAATCTCCGCGCGAGAGGCGTGTGTATAATTTTCTACAAAAGAAAATTGCAATTGTTTGTGCTCGGTGCGCAATAATAAAGGTGCGGCAAATAAACGCCGCGACACATTGAATATGAGATATTAAAATAATGATACGGTAAAACGGGAACTAGTTTTATTTGCTGCATCCACTTTTCGAGATTGTAAAACGCACGCGAAATTATTCAAGGTTTCTTTCTACGCGCGGTTTTTGTAAGTCGCGGAATGACTTTTTCTAATCTCCGCGAAAGGAAGATAATTATCTGTAATAAAATTGCGAGCGTTCGTTCTTTTTCCGTAGGTAAAATACGCTGCCGTGGAATTAAGACTAATAAGTGCAGGCATCAATGAGCAAGCGTGCGTAATGGATCGCGTATTTCGTCAATGGCGATAAAAAGGAATTAATGTGACCATAAAATGCATCCTGTGTGCGAGAGTCATAAAAAATCCAGGCGATACATCTCAGCGCGCGGCACGGAGAGATTTTCGCGAATGAAGCGACGATCGTCGAAATGGGATCACAAAGCGTTATTGACGAGAGGGAAAGTAATGGAAAATTGATCGGGTTTGATGACAGTCAGGTGCGAGCATAAACGATTCTCGTCGCGCGGTTATTATTTGATTCGGTCATATCGGAGATTAAAATGCACGTGCCATCGCATTAAGCGCCGCGCGTATTTTTTTAAGCATCCGCCACTGTTTCCCCTCATACATTCGATATTCGAGATTGCGTCCTGAATTTATGATTACGTTCCGACTAATGCCGACGACGTAGTGAAAAAAAAAAATTGAATAATCGACGCGGTAAAGGTTTTATCGTGTTATGCAAACTTTTTAGATAACCCGTTACTACGCGCAAACATGTAACAAAAAATCTGTTGACACAAAGTGAACAAAAATCATGTTATATCGCGAAAACGAAGAAAATATTGATTTCACGTGCAGCGCAGAACGTTTTACGGTTTTTTTTTCGCCCCCTCCCGGAAAAAAATGGCAAAATATTTGTCCGAAATTCCAGAATATGGTATTTTGACGCGGTCAACAAGGGTCATCGATTCTACATACTTTCGACGTAACCGTCTCCGATGAGAGACAAAAAAAAAATAACGTAAAAATCGTCGCGTATTTGATACAACGCGCGATACAAGCGATCCTTTAACGTATTATTGTTTAACCCAACCGCGCTTGAAATCGAATTACAACGGTCGAATGTATCGCGCACGTGCCTATATCCTGTGCTATTTCACAACGAGAGGAAGTTAAAGCCAAACGATGGTAGCCGATCGGTATGAGAAGCGAAAATCGACATTCGCGAATTTCCTGCTCATTGGCATGAAAAAGCATCAAAAACGTTAATGTTAATTGTTAAAAGACACTAAGAGTCGACGCGGAAATTAATGCGTATTTTCTTTAAAACATTTTAACAAATATATTTGAGTATTTCGGTTCCAGTCTAAGCCTTCATTTTAGCAGACAATAAAAGTTATTATAGAACACTTACGTGTCATCTGCATCTTACTTATGCTCGTTTCTATCAGTATAGATTAATTTTATCTTATTGTTAGTATAACATTATTTTTCATCTTTTTCCAATTTTTATAATTACAAAAAAAGTAAAGTTAGTCGAATCGAGATTAAAATTAAATTACATTAATAGAAATAAACATTAGTAAAATTGATTTCTTAGTGCGTCACTATGGTCGTGAATCCATAGGATGAGCTATTTTGGATTTTCACGGTGAAAATTTATATTCGTCGAAAAACATTCTACTATAAATTACGAATTATATAAGGTGTACTAAAACCTTGTCAAAAGATCGGTTCAATTTTTTATCAAGGAACAATGAGAGATCCGGCAGACACGTGCATCTCGAATACTTTAACACTCGAATGCTCGGTATCTTTGCTTACTCCTGCATTACCAGCCCTGTGGATTTAAACACCGCGCAGCGACTGAGTAGCGACGCATCTCCGAAAACCTTCTCGCATTTCAAATGGGATAACGCCGCGTCGCCGTGGCGCGTTTCACGCGTAATTCCCATGAAAAGTTAAACCGGGACATATCCTGTGTGTGCATATTATATGCAGTGTACGGGTGCATCTGACACGCGAGATGCGCGCCGCGCCCGAGAACGTGTCTACGCGCGGCTATGACAATCGCGGCGCAGCCGGCCGACCGAGTTGACATTTTCGCATTTTCCGGGTGCTCGTGTCGTAATTAATTATCGGTTCGTCGCGACCAAAATAGACAGCCGCTCACTCGAGCGGAATTTCGCGTGCCGACCGATATGACGGCCGGTGCGAATTCTGTCTTCGGCAGAAATTAGAAATCGACGTGTAATTCCGCGCCGTCGACGTCAACCGGGACCGACCCGTTCCCGAACGCATTTTAAACGTTCCGTACCCATCGACTGCATTAATCATAATATATGATTAGGAAAAAGCATTTAACTTTTAAATAGGTAGGTGGCTATAGTATCTCACGTAGTTAGCTTAAAAATCTTATCTGCAAAAAAACAATAAAAATATTATCCAGAAATTTTAAAGTTCATTTTTACATTCCTCTAACTCATAAGGATATAAATGATATCAAATAACTTTATACAGATTACTGAGAAATACAATTAGAAAAGAAATTTTTTTAGATGTTCTGAATATACCACACCTACTTATTTAAAGAATAAATAAAATTTAGGTTGGTAATTATGTTCAATTTTTATTTCAAGAACGTCTGAAATAATGTCTTAAGGAACTAACATTCTAATGTTGCTCTGTTATTGATTATAATATTTTAAGACTGTACTTAAGACAATTTTATTTGCACTAAAAGAACAATGTTACTAAAATATCTAAAAATTAGGTAAATACACACGTATAAAATAATTTTGTTGAACCATTAAAATAATTATGTACGATAAAAAATTCAAGCATGATGAAGGATGCTGCGAAAAATTTTCTAGCAATCAGTTTAAGCGTCCTGCATAATTATCTTGATAGTCCTCTAAAATTTATTTTCAGGTCTGTATTTAGTTTTGAATATTCTAACAAATCTCTTTTTTTTTCCTATAAATAAGAATCGACTATAAACACCGACTTTGTAGAACCGGAAAATTTTCAGGATTATTTGAAATCAGGCAATCGCGTACCTGATACTTATTCCTTCGATGGTGAAACAAGACCGTCATTTGCCTTCTCATGCTCAATATATAAACCTCATCTGTATTTTATTATCGCTGCAGCAGACTGCGCAACTTGCGATATGATTTTATGAGAACCATAAAACGTCTGAAGATATGTCTTGCGATTGGTACTCAACATCTGCAGAGATCGCACCTTACAGTATACTATCATATCGATACTGCTCTCCTTATACTCATATTTCGCACTCCACAGATTACGCGATTGCGTCCATTTTTTTTTTTCGATGCTGAAATCGATACAGTTACGGGACTTCAAATTCCTATGTTGTACAGAGACCATACTCGATAAATTTTTCTCTCTTTTTTTTTTTTGTATTGCGTTTTTGTCGAGCCAGCAGCTGAATTGCAGGAATCTCTCGCGCAGACTGTGGAAATATGCGACGGTGTATCGTACCGGCGTAATTAACCCCCGCAATCGCTAATTAGCGACGAGTTTATGTGTTATCGTGTCTGTGTTTCGGCTGAATCGTATGACGTAATCGTTGCCGAGTAATACGGTAACGACAATGTCTGACGACCTAGTCGCGCGCGTTTATCCGAAATTACGCCGGTACTTGTGGCTGTGTAACTGAGAGAAATTGTGTGGTAAATATTTGCGCGTCATATATGTGGGAAACTCGTTGCGAGTTAATTGGCTACTAGTTCGTTCAATAATAAGTTAACATCGACGCATCACTCGCCGCGGGGCTAATAATAAAACTCGTCTGTTCAAAGCGACGAGATCAGCTTCGATGATCAGCAATAATTACGTTACATCGCGATTATTGAAGAAATTTCAAGTAACTGATCAATTTGACAAATTGACATTCTTTTATTTCAAAATTTTCCCATTGAATTATATTTGGAGCGTCTCATCGGAAATTAATTCAACGCGCTACGCCGGAAATTTCTCTCACTTATAAAGCCTGATACTTTTGTATATAAAACGACTTATACATTTCCTTCTAATTTACAGGATGATTACGAAAGGTTACGTAATTTCATTGAAACGTTAACGTCGGCTGCTCGTAATGCTGCAGTCGTTGAATATCCGAGCGTTAGAGCGTGGAACGCGTATTCTTTCGAGTAGATTTAATGCATTATACGATATTCGTGTGTCATCCTGTAATAATAAGTTCTTCCAGCACCCGGTAGCACACGTTGGATCCATCGATCAACAGAAAGACACGATAAGACTCTATTCACCCTCGCCCCCGCGCTCCAGCTCTCTCACAACCAGCCCACCCTCTCTCAGCAGGAAATGACATGCTTACAGTGTCTCTTACAGCGAACGACCTAATTACAAGTTTACCTTTTTCTGTTTTCTGTTCGCTTCTTATGTTATGGACCGACCCTGGTTTCCGGTTTCTCTGTGCAGTCCTTCAAGGTAATTCGCCACCGCCTTTTTCTCTAAACTCTCTATTACCGCCTTTATCTCTCTTTCTACCGCTCTGAAACATTCATTCGGATCGCCGTCACATCAATGTGTCACCATAATTGTACAGAATGCCTCTTGAAAGTTTCTATATCAGCTCGCCGTAATAAATCTTTGTGTATTTGCTCATCTCAAAGAGCTCTTTGACTTTTAAAAATCCGTACAAAGAGAATGCATTTGACACTTTTTAAAAAAACTACCGCGTGTTAATTGAAATGCGAATGGAATACGCGTAAAGGTGAAATGAAAAGATACATATTTCAAGTTCTTTTTGTATTCGTTACTTTGTGGTGACACATACATATACACATTACATACATCATCCACACGCTCACATACAATTCATCATTTTCGATCTCTTCATTCTTCGTAATACATTCTGTTTCTATTTTCTGCTTTTCTGTCACCCTTTTCGTTCTCTTTTGATCTCTCTCTCTCTCTCTCTCTCTCTCTCTCTCTGTCTCCATGAGCATTTCACGTCTTTTTGATAGTTTCATTTTTTCATATGCCTCTTCTCGCTCATTGTCGTTATCTTCATTGCGTGCTGATGTCTGATCTTATTCGCGCGAAACGTTTTTCGGGATCGATGTGACGGAGGAAGTATTTACTCACAAAGAGTGGAGAACGTTGCTCCCGGATCTTCGGAACGGTGCTCCCCTTTTGGCTCGTCGTAGGAAAAGCCATACTCATCCCTCGGAAGAGGAAGACGACGCTGAACTTTTTGCCGCGCGCGTATCTCGCGGAAAAAAAGAGCGAGATATATACCTCCACGTGTACCGTCATCGATCCGCGTTTCGCGTGCAACATCGTCCATAAATGCAGACACCGGCGCGCATTACACGACGTCGCCAAGCTATGCAAACTGCAAACCACCGTGAGAGCTTTAATGCGCGCCTTTTCCGCGTCCGTCGTACACCGTACGCGCGCAAGTAGAGCAGCACGAGCGAAGCGATGAACGAGGGAGGCGGGCGCATGCATGTGCACGCGCGACTTGGAAGGCGGAAGAAAGAAAGAAAGAAGAGAAGAAACGCACAATGCGCGCGCCCGCACACTCGCGCGCACTCGCGAGCACTCGCGAGCGTAGAGCGGCCCGCTGACTTTGCATTTTGTAGTCGGTGTTTTTTTTATGCGTCCTATTGCCTCTCTTTTTCAGCACCCTTTCCACCCTTCCGCGCCCACCCTCTCGACCCACATACATACACCTCGCCCTACCTTACGCTTGACGCGCCCGGTCGACAAAAAAAAAATCCGTGTATTTTTTACCTTCCCTCTTTTTGCACGACACCACCGCTATATATGCCGCCAAGCGCGATTTTTGAGGCCCTTTTCCACACGGGACTGTTTACCCGCCGCTATTTACGATGCAAATCAAAGCGGGCCCCTTCCTTCTCCCCCTTTTTATATAGCGCAAAACAGCCGTCGGTCGATTAACGATTCAGGATCGGGTCGTTGAACCCTCGGCTTCTGTGCATTCTAATGAGACTCTTGTCAGAAGCTTCTTCAGGGAAATTTGCTCCTGGAAGAGTGCAGCTTTTTTTTTAGCAGAAATATTGAGATTTTAGTAGATGTTTAACGTCCGTATATGAATATTTGTTTTAGAAATTTGCAAGCAATTTTGGAAAATTTTTCAGAAATGAAAATTTGATTAAAATCGAAAATATAAAATAAAATATAAGAGGATGGAAGTAATCGAGAGTTCTTTTTTCACATTATTAAATAAGTTTTTTCTCTGCAATTTCGAAGCTCTATCAAATTTTTATATATAAACATATAGGTACGAAAGAATATAAACACAAAACTATTAAGTTTGGAAATCGACGCATTAAGTTATAACTAATTAATAAGTGAAGCAAAATCTAATATGTAACTGACTACTAAAAGCACAGGACGATAATTTAATTTTGTTTTTATTTCGTTAATTTTATCTGTTAACTCGTAATCACTCGATAGAACGATGTTTGTTACAAATTTGATTATTGTTAAGACGCAGTAATGTTAATTGAGCTTGAGTTTTCATCATTACTAGCTAACTAACTAGACCGAGTATTGTCATTCTTACACGAAATTGTTGCTCAAGATGATTCAAAACAAGAATCGAAACGTACAAGGTTTATAAGTTGAAATATTGAAGTATTGTATATTCACACATAACAATAATTTTGTTAACAATAACCAATTGCTGACTCATATTACCTGTCATTTGTTATAATTCACTTTTTAATTTGATATAAATATATACGCTTTTAGAAATTTTCGCAGAATCTTTCAGAATTCATTTCCTTCGGTGTGTAAATCTGAGCGAATCAAATTATAAAATAATAAAAAGGCAAGAAAAATTTTTATCATTTCTAGTCATAATCGACTCCAAAATTTCATTAGAAATACAATTTCAATTTATTACAATAGATTATAGAAATTGTATTATTAGCGGAATTTTCTTAGGGTTTTTGTCCGAAAATGAGACTTCGATTTTGTCGATGAGCCAAGATTCGAATTTGACCGACTTCGCAATGCGGCAAGCTGAAATTACGCGCGGACAATGTTCAATCGTGACCTTTTTACGTGCAGCTTGGTGGACTAATAACTTGGGTTAATGTTCGCGCCGCGGGTCACTCGTGTACCAGTTTTAGAACGTGAGTAAAATGCAAAAGTAACGAGTTCGAGAACGATGATTTTGATAGGTGTTTCTCAATGATCTCTAATTGAGACAAAACACATTTATATGACGTTTATTGATCGTTATCAAAAAATGGTGAAAAGATTGCTCTCTGAGAATCACAAATGTAAAAAAACTAAAAAGTAATAACTATAATTTCGAATCGTTATTAATAAGTTTGATGAGTTAATTAAAGATAAATAATAACATTTTAAATTTTAATCTGTGAATAATTGCAATTATTTTGATAGAATTTCCATCCCGTGACTTAATTATTATACTGAAAAAATGGTAAATCTCAATAAAAAAAATTTTTCGTTTAAATAGTTATAAGTAAATATTTATTAGAAAAATATAAACAAATATAATACAAGAACCATTAATTTGATCGAATTATTATCTCTTTATTGAATAAGTATTTACTTGCTGCAAATAAATGTTTACTCTCAATAAATTCTCTTTTTAGGTGTGACATATTTGATGTCGAAAAACAGTAAGCAAATGTGGCAATAAAATTTTCATTACCGAGATATCGATCGTACGTTCATCAATTTGTAATAAAAAAAAATACGCTACTTTATTCAATATTCTGTATAGAGTGATTGTAATGGTCGTTCTATTTTTAATAATCTAACATTTTTGTTACAACACAAAGTACGAACATCGAATAACGTGTGTTCGAGATTATAATTAAACTATAAATAGTTTATCTCTCGCAGAGAAAAATTTTTCTATCTGATGCGTACAGCTAACTGATAAAAGCGGATATTATGGACGTCGGGTACTATCGATCGCGATACTCTTCCGGTTGATCACCCCGAAATGTACTAAGCCAACCCTTAACCGATCCTCGACCAAAGATCCAAAGGGAGAAAATCGCTCCCCGCACTTGATTGCACTCGCACGCTGCGAGCCTCGCAGAGACAACGTCCAATTTATTGTTAGTTTCGTCGTAGAAACGCATGCCTGATAGACTGTTATATGTATGCGTTAACGAGGACATAGTCTGGATGCATAAAATACATATACAGACACACACGCGTACATATACACGGATACGCGTACACGACATGTGCATGTCAATAATTCTCATATCGATAGAGTTCCAAACCTTCATTCAATAAACGTAGAAAGAAAAAAAGAATGGATTTTTATGGCCGTATCACACTAGCGATTGGAGATTGAGGCTGCGTTCGCAATCTTTTGATCAATTAGGAAGCAGCTGATGGGGCCAGCCGTTCCTGTTTAATTGGTAAAGAAACGCAGAGACACAATCCAGATCGAAAATATCCTCATATATTTTGCGATATTTTCAATATTTTACTCATAATATATGGATATTTCTTTGTATTTTCCTCTCAAAAAGTCTCCCAAAAATTCTCCTTTGACTTTGTGCGTCCTCAACGAATCCTTCGGTGTGAAAAGAGAAAACTTCTAAATGCAAAGAAAAATCCCCCAACAGCGACGCTATCTCCAATCGCTAGTGTGATACGAGCATTACAAAGATAAAATTGTTGATTCAGATGGAGCTTTACTTTCGAACGCTCCGCCGAGCGGATTCCAGCATCCAAGATTCCCGCTCGGCGACCGCGGACAGTCCCGCATTCGCGTGTTTCGAGATTTCTAAAGTTTTCCTTGTTTCGGAGCTGAGTGATTGTCTGCCACCCGAAACAAGGATCTTTCTGGATTCATTACTCAGCGTGGTCGTTCGCTATTTACAATCCTAAGGAAAGGAAGCCCGAGTTCCGACGCGCCGCGTGGAGAAGAAACGGGAAGTCTCGGGGAAATGAAATATGCTGCGACGAAAAAAGTCCGCGAAAAGCTCGCTCACCCCTTTCTTTCCGTCTCTCTTTCGCGTGCTTTCATTCGCTATGGAAGGCGAAGACGAGACTCGCTCGCTCGCTCGCTCGCTCGCTCGCGCCAAACAAGCGTCGTAAATTTCAGCGTCCTGCCTCGAGAGAATCGTACCTCATCGAGAGAGGGAATGCAAGCTCGCTGCTTTCTTGCAGCCGCGTGTCGACAGTGGCTTTATCTTGGAAGAAAGGCGTCCGGCCGAAGAAAGTTCGCGAGGAGTTCCGGGGGCGTTTTCTCTGTGCCCCTCCGTGACGGAAACGGAATTGCGATGATATCTGCACCGGAACTTTTTAAATATCGCAGACAATAGTTCACGCGATTATTCGTGTTTCAATACGCGACCGCGTTTCCCATATAAAATGCAAAAAAGTCACGTAGCTTGTATATTAAACTCGGATGACTATAGATATTACATTTTCATCACCGTTCTGATTCGGTGAGA